TGTTGAATATTATTCCATTGTGTGGATATATGTTTATCCATTTACCAGTTGATGGACACCTGAAACTACCCCGGTTTTTGGCTACAATGAATAATGCTGCTATAAACACTCACACACAAGTCTGAGCAGACATGTTTGTATCCCCTGGGTGGATGCCTAGGTGTGCAATTGCTGGATTGCTTTGAACCATTCTAGTGGGTACAGAGTGGTACCTCACTGCGGTTCTCTCACCACGAAGGGCACGGGGCATCACCTGCGTTCCTCTGTGTCCTGTTCCTGGGATTCCACATTTGATGACTCACTTGAAGGATCCAGAGGCAATTATATACCTTTATGGCAATGGGTTATTACAGCAAAAGGACACGCGGCAGGACCAGCCAGGGGAGAAGACGTGTCAGGTAGAGTCTGGAGAAGCCCAGGCGAAGGCTTCTCAAGATCTCCCTTCTGGGTGGGCACCGTTTTCCCCTCCAGCAGTGAAATACAGCAATGAGGGGCATTGTTTCTGCCTGGGGAAGCCTGCTTGAGACTCCAAATGCAGGGTTTTTAAATTATTTTATCATGGGCTGGTGGTATACGTACCCTGCCTGCACTGTTAGCCATGTATATCGAAATTCCAAGCTCCTAGAAGGGAAGCAGGTGTTCACGATAAATCACATTGTTTGCACGGTCTAGGCAAGCTGGGACAGCAGATTCTGTGCCCCAGGCAGGTTTATTGTCATTTAGAAATGTAGGCAGCGTTCCAAAAGCCAATTTCTCAGATGTCAGCCAACGTCACTCCCACAAGCAGGTCCTTTGAAAGAGCAACATTGGACTTGTTGTTGCCCTTGTCCAGTCAAATCTTTGGGTCATTTTTAAATTGGGTTTCAGTCTCTTCCTCCCCGCTGCCCCTCCTCCTCCCCCTCCTCCTCCTTCTTTTGGAATTGTTAGAATTCTTTATATATCCTGGACGCAAGTCATTTATTAGATATATATTTTGTAAATGTGTTCTCCAACTTGTCTTCCACTTTCTTAGTGGTGACTCTCGGAAGCAGTTTAGACAGGGACCAGACTTGCATACACATAAAACTGATTTGTGGAGAATGAATACCAGAGGCTGTAGTGGCTGAGGAGACCATTGCAGTGGTCCAGGTAAGAGACGGTGGTCGTGTGGGCGGGGAGGTGACCGGAGGGATGGAGAAATTAGGCCGCACAGGAGAAATGTGCATAAAGTAAGAATGACAGGGCATGCAAGCACTCATAGGCTTCCAACAGCAGAAGGGTATGGCTCCCCAAACTTGTGCACAGAACACACTATCATAATTGTTTTTCACAGTGGAACTCTCATGAATTTGGGGGATGTTAGTGTTTTGATAATTTGAGAAAGGTGGGACCAGAGGAATTTTAGGGTTCCTTCTAGTTTTCGCTCTGTGCTGCCATGAACATGTCCTTTTGGCATAGTTTTAACAATTCTAAAATATTCTGTGGCACGTGCCTAAGTGCCGTATTATAGATTGTTTATTAGTCACACATGTGCATCTATAATGCCGTCTCTTCATCCAAGAAAATAACTTCATGACTGAAATTGAACAGTCTGTGCATGGAGACCTTTGCAGAAAGTGATGGCAGAAACACTGTTAGCAGAGGAAGTGCAAGGAGGGGAATAAGAAAATTCATATTCATGCATTAACCCAATTACCAAATGTACCCTGCAAATCAGGAGCGCTATTGGTTTAAAATGGGATTTCATATCATTCGTCCCAAATGACACAGTCAGTATTATAAATGAAAAATTCTTTCCTCAGGCTGGGACAGAGCTCCTCTCATTAGGGCAGTGTGCGCTATCACAGGAGAACCTTTATTTAAGGCTGGAAATTCTATTTACCCAGGAGCCTAAAACACTGTTTTTCTATTCTTGCAAAATAAACAAAACACCCAGGCAAACTAGATCCAAAGGAGGCCCGAGGGAATGGAAACGAATGTGAAATCAGGTGTGCTGGCCAGGGTCAACGCAGTGAATCAGGAGCACAGCGGAGAAACATATTTTCTCTCCTCTGATGCTAAGGCTACGTGAATCAATGGGACAAAGCGAGAGCAGAGAAATATGAATGTGTGTGTGCACTTCCATGTGTATGTGTTGTTTTATTTTAGAAGAAGACAAGATAAAGGCTTAGAAATGAATGTTTTGCTTAGTGGGAGCCCTATGATACAGCCATGAATCAGAGAGATGAATGCGCCTCCTTCAAGCCTAGCTGGGCCTGGTGCGCTGAGCCTACAGAAAGGCTGGACAGGGAGGTGCTGGCACGCAAGGGGGCCTGATGTCAGGGGCGTGCCGCAATAAAAACCCCCTTCTGAAGGCGGTGATAATGCATCTAGCTCTCATGCTGCTTATTTTGCCCTTTCCTGTCTCAGGGCCTTTGCACGTACGTGCTGTTCATTCTGCAAACCAGTGGCCACGAGCCATCCCCAGGTCTTGTGAATTCATTTTTCAGGTCTCAAATCCATCTTCTTTTCCCTGCCACAGGGTGAATCCCTGATGTTATTGGGGTCTACACTTTGTACAATTTTGAAGGCCCCTTTTCAGAATGAGAATAAACATTACAAATGTGAAAGCAGATGCCCATATAATTAGGCCCCTCCAGGGGTGCTGGAAAGGGCCTGGGCGGGGAAGGGCTAGTGTGTGAGCTCGACGGTGAACCTGCTGCCTCTCACGGTCAGAGCCTCATCTCACTTTGTAATTAATCATGTGTTTAATCGTGTGAATATTTGCTCTGGCCTACCTCCCCGGTGGACTGTATGCTATCTGAGGGGAGGGACTGTATTTATTTTGCTCTTTATTGTATCCCTAGTGGTTAGTCTAGTGCCTGGCACATGAGAGGTCCTCAATAAATAGGATTTGAATAAACGAACTCTGAATTTTGAATCATAATGAAAATCATAAAAATACGAGCTTCCACTCATTGACAGTCTCCACTTGCCAGGCCCTGGATGACAGTTTGAGGGAACAGCTATGCTGGGAGCCTCGGCCTGTGAGAACAGGGGAGAGAAAGCCACCCTGGCACTGGGAAGTAATGGGGACTGGGGTTGAGGGTGCCTTTGAGTCAAGGATGTGTCTTCTAATGCCTACTGTCAAGAGTACTGTGTCCCCCCAGAATGAACACGACTTCATGAATGGTAGGTACTGTTCCTAAATTAGTTTTGTTTTGTTTTATTTTATTTTATTTTTAAATGAGAGGAGACTATTCTAAAGCTGCTGCCTCCTAATTTTCCCTGTTGGGAAAGAGAACCCTTTCTCATATACATACTTCCCACAGCCATGTTCTTAAACCAGTGGGTCTCAATTAGAATGATTATTTTGTGTCCAGGGGACATGTGGCAATGTCTGGAGGCATGTTTGTTGTTGCAGCAGGGAGTGTGGGAATGTTACTACCAGCAGCTAACAGACAAAGGGCAGCGATGCTGCTAAGCACCCTGTAATACACAGGGCAGCCCCTCACAGCAAAGAATGATCTTGCCCAGAATGTCAACAGTCCAAGCTGAGAAACCTTGCCTCACACTCACAGTCTCCCTCTCTATCTCTTTTTCTGGACACTACAGCTCTTTGCACTTTTTTTTCCTCCTTTGTCTACTATGTTCCACAAAGAAGAGTGGGGCAACATGGCTCAGAGAGCAAGGGGGAAGAAAGATATTCAACGGAGTGCATGTGATGCAATTTCAATTACACATTCAGCTTATTAAAAATAAACTAGTACTTCCCTGGCTGGTGTGGCTCAGTGGATTGAGTGTCGGCCTGTGAACAAAAGGGTCGCTGGTTCAATTCCCAATCAGGGCACAGGCCCCCAGTAAGGGGCATGAGAGGCAACAACACATTGATGCTTCTCTCTTCCTCCCTCCTTTCCCCATCTCTAAAAATAAATAAAATCTTTTAAAACACCAACTAATATTTACTGTGACAGGCACTGTTCTAGGCCAGGCCATCGAATGGTCTGGGAATCTTATTAAAGTGCAGATTCCGAGTCAGTTGGTCTGGGGCGAAGCCTGAGAGTCTGCATTGCTAACCAGCTCCCAGGGAACGTAAATATTGTGTAAAAACACTCGGAGTCGCAAATTTCTAGGCACTTAGCAGCAAACAAAACAAAGACTCCCAGCCCTTGGAAAGCTTCCAGTCTGGCTAGAAATATATGGGACCCAAAGAAAGGTAGACAGGCTGAAGTCAGAGGCACTAAAAGACTTAGAAAACCAGAGCTGGAGAAGAACTTCGAGAATGTTTAATCAAACTCCCCCATTTTAGAGGTTGGGAAGCCTGGGGTCACAGTGGGGAAGAAAGCTGTTAAAGTCAGAGTTTGTTGTGGCAGCTTTTGGACAAGGCTGTTGGATTCCAATTCCCTTGTATTATCAGCGTCCTTAGGGACCTCTTGAGGGCAGAGGTCATTCATGGAGGGGAATGGCTAGCAGCTTCAGAGGTTGCAGGAGTGGGGGTCTGGAGGACCTGCACAGGAGGGTCCCACTACTCTGGAACCAGGAAATCAATTTCAGTCATTGCCGTTATGACACACATGCACACACTGGGATATATTTGTGGAGATAATAGGTTCCTTCTGGCTGACCCTTTGTTTTTCTGCATGACTAGGATGAGCTGGGGAAAAGGATGGAGAAGTAATCTGAATGCATTTAGGCATTTGGCCAGCAAGTATAAAGAGTAAACTCAAACAGAATTGGGCCAATTAAAACCTCTTTCTAATCAGGAGTGGAAGGACAAATCCCGAACCCGCGCCAGGCGCCTGATCCCGTCTCTCAGGGCCTACCCGAACACGGCCATCCACCCAGAGCTCCAATGGGAGGACTGTTTGTATGGTGCTGAGGAGCAATTGCTTTCTCTGCTGCTAGGACTTGGGAACATATACTTTTAAATTCATGCCAGTTTGATTGGAACAGTAGCAAATTTCGTGGAGTGGCTAAAAAGAAGGATTACAGCTGGTACACCAGGAATTAATAATATAACAAAGGAAAAGAAAGAGAGAAACTTTTCATTAGTACTTTTTGATGTCAATTTATTATTTATCCCTTTGTCGATACTCAAACAGGCAATCATTAAACATTCAGAAAGATCCTCTAACAGAGCTGAAGCATCTGTCTTACCTGAGTTTTTTAGAAACCTGGAAATCAAGAGCCCTGGTGTTTATAAAATAACTGTGTTAAAAATGTCTGCTGTATCAAAAGTACTGTTTGAGGATCACTACTCAGAAAGAAAGATTTATGTTTAAATTTTATCAATGGCCAGTAAGCAGGCAGGCCATGGTTCTTAATGGAAGATCCAATGTAAATTAGCAAAGTGCTGCTTCCAAATTTTTAAGCCTTCAGTTTTATTTTGTTTGACACATGGTGTTGACAAAACCCACTGTTTGGTAATTAGCATCCTGTCAAATCTCTCCAATCAAGACCAGCACGCTGCACCTGGTCCTAGTTCAAAAATGCACTGCGGGCAGTTCCGATCTGACCCACAGGGGACATTGCCACATGCAGAGCTGCTGTCAGGGTGCCCGTCACAGTTACCATTTACAAAATGAGAAGGCTCCGCACCCAATGGTTCTGAGAACTTTTGCCTCATCCTAACGATCTGCCACACCATTTTTACATCTTTGATAAATGTCCCTCCTTGTGATGTAGACACCTGCTCCTCCCTAAAGAGGCATCTCTTCCTGGGACAGAAGACTCTTCAGAAGTACAATCATTGTCGAAATAAACACAAATGAAAAACAGAGAGGCAAAAATAAATAAATAACAGGAAAACAAAGACCTTAATGGCTTTCTCCTCAGGAGGAGCTTGGTGGAGAAGTGGCCGGCCCTCCCTGTCTTGTCTTTCCTTCACTGTTCCGGGTGCCGTTGCCTTTCTGGGAACTGTCCCTGGAATAGAGGTTGTGGTTCTTGATGTATGCGATGACAGAGTCCGGGAGCAGGTACTTCACGCTCTGCCCTTGGCGCAAGGCGCTCCTGATGTACGTGGCGCTGATCTCGTTCTGCACTGGCTCCCTGACCAGGTGAATGTTGTGCTGGTACCTCTGCAGGATCGGTGAGCCCATGATGTACCCCTTGGGGTCATGACCAGCCCGCCCCACACACACCAGGCCGAACTTCTCCACTATTTCCTGGATGTGCTCGTCTTTCCAGAGGTTGGGGGTCTGGAAGGTCTTGAGGACATCTGCTCCGCAGAGGAACTTCAGTTCAGGCACAGCTGGAAAAACAAGGGTAGATCCCAGCAAAGTTACAGGAAGGGTCAAGGCCAGTAAAGGAAGATATTCCATTTGAAATTTTCATAACTGTTTTTCTTGGAATATATAGAGAACACAATGTCTCCCTGTTCATGACTTAAAAAGCATGAATCTGAAGCCACTTCAGGGACATACAGTTATAAGTAATAAATCAATCAATAAGTCTTTTGTTTTATATTGGTGCAGTGCCAAGTTCTGTAATACAAAGCAGTTTTTATTTGCAGCATTACACCCCAAGTCTGTGGCTGCTGGATCTCATGGCTGAGGGTCCGAAGGTGGCTCTGCTGCACCCAGAACCCCATCTTCTAATAGAGGTACACTTCTTAAAGCCCTAGGACTGACAGGCTGTGGGCCTCAGACAAGTTCCTGCCCCTCTCAGAATCTATCAGCTCTAACATGTATACTTCTATAAGGAAGACCTCATCATAAAAGTTAATTGTAAAGTATAACCAAAAGGTTCCTAAGACCCCAGCTGATGACCTTTTCATCTGTTTTCAATGAAACAAAGCTCTAGAACAAGTGATCAATGTGGATAATCCTTTCACATTTGTTCTAACTGAATGATGATTGTGCTGATAAAAGAATACCTAATGTTTATCGAATGCTTACTATGAGCACTATTGATTGTTAAGCGCCTTCAGTGTATGATCTCATTTGAGCCTCAGGACAATTTTATAAGGTAGGTATTCCTGTTGTGTCCATTTTGCAGAGGGAGAAACGAGGCACACGACTTGCCTGAGGTCACTCGTTTAGGCATAGTCGTCAGGAGTCAAGCCTGACAGCCAGCCTCCAGGTGGGGCATTTGTAACTGCTAGGCTCTGCTGCCGCCTGCTGGCAGGAATTGTACGTGCATCGGAACTGAGAAGCCCTTTCTCAATTTGGAAAGGAAAAATCAAGTCCATGGTAGAAGCAACCAGCAGGATCTCTGGTCCTTTGTGGGGTGGATTCTATCTTCGGTAAAAGGCAAAGACTGGGCCTCTGAGTGCTGGCATCTCTCAGTCACCATGAAACCTCAGGTGGGAGGAGCTTCAGAGATACCGCCTGCTGGGAAAAAACCTGAAACATTCAGTTCAGGCTCCTCTACTGTGGAACCTTCAAAGGATTCTGGGCATGGGCCAGAGTTCTAAGAGGAGCATCAGACCAGCTGTGGAGTGGAAAGAGAAACTGAAAGTGTCATGGAGATGTCTGAATTCCGGCCTCGGTTGGGCACAGGCTGCTGTGGGGCTAGAGCCAAGGTCCTTCCTTCTTTGGGCCTCAGTTTCCCCTCTCTGAAATGGCGGGCAATGGACTTGTTTACTCAGCAGAATGAAATTATTATACCTTTGAAGAAACACTCTAGTCACATAATATTGGTATAATGAAATGATATTCAAACATTTATTAATGCATGGTTAAGAACTAGGATCCTAGAGACAGGCACCTTAGATTCAAATCCTGATTTGTCACTCAACAGCTGTGTGACCTCAACTTTAAAATGAGGTTATTAATAGTAATTATCAAATAGGATTAGTTTAGAATCAAACGAGCTTATAAATGTAAAGTACTTAGAATCGTAATTGGAAGAGAGTTAAGTGTGATATGTGTTAGCTACCATCCATCCATCCACCTACTTACCCACCAATTCATTAATCAACACATTCACTGGACACTTATGAGTTATCTCCTGCCCTTTTAAAATCAATACAACTGCATTTAAAGACTCAATAACTCACACTTTTGGCTAATTTGGGCTGGTCCCTTTCCTCTAACATATATGTGGATTTGACCTACTCTGCACCAGTGAGGTTTTACTCTAATTTCTTATTGTTTCAACCACTGTAATATAGCATAAAACCAGAGTTTGTCTTTTCAAATAGTTGGGTGGTTTTTATATTGTCTTCCTATGGGGAAGCTAAATGCTGTACATTTAATTCTAGGGTCTCCAGGGGCCTGGGGCATACAATCCCTGTTCTCAAAGGTCAGATGTTTGTGGGGACGATTTCTACATATCAGCTTCAATACTAGATCCTGCTGGATTCATTGACAATGGCAGTAAGGAATAGGATTCATTCTGAGCCCTTGCCTACAGGGAATACATGCTCATTGCTCCCCTGCTCAAGTCAAAGGCAGGTCTTCCAGCCAACAGGTGCCTCAGACTCCAGCTCGGGGTAGTCCTACCATCGGGCCTCACAGAGGTGCTCACGTATCCCTTTCAAATCCATTCGCCTCCCTGCTACAAAATGCTCACATTGAGTGGCTCTGACCATGCAGGTCCCAAGTACATAAGTCTGAGGTGTTGAATAAAGGCTGACAATTTGATTTGTCTGAGCAGGGACACGGTGACATAAGTAGGATGTCCACTGGCATTTTCAGGCAGTGTGATCTCTTTGAGTAGCCACAGGCTTTGAAAAGCAGATGAAGCAGAGATTTACATGGAATGTGAGGAAGTACCACCAGGACCTTTTTCTGTGAATGTCTATCTGCCCTAAATCTATGACATTAAAGAGCCCCAACCCCAAGGTCAGCCAGCGCTGGGTTGGAGTTTCAGATCCGCTGGGTCTCTGGGGTAGTTGTAGAAGACAGGCCTGCTTCCTCCGCTGTAAAGTGGGGATGATAAAACCTCCTGTAGAAGTTACAGAAATTGAGTGAGGGAGCGAATGCTATGTGAATTTCCTGCCTAGTGCAGGTACGGACATGGCCCCGTGGGCCACACAGACACACGCAGGAGTGTGGGACTCCTGGTCTACACAGGAGGATACCAAAGGCAAAGCCAGGTATTGGCATCTGCCGAGAGGTTGCCACATTAACCAGACAAGTCAGCGTGAAATGGAACCAGAGGAAGTGCCTGCTGGGTCTGTACGGAGAGGGTGTCCTCTGAGTGTCGCTGGGCTGGGCTCAGCCCCGTCAGCACAGGTGGGGACCACCTTCGCAAAGACAGACCGGTTGGGCCATTAAAGGACCCAGGCATCATCCATCCCAGTGTCACACCCAAGTAGCCCAGAAAGCAGCAAGCGATCCACATGACTCTGGGGAGGCCAGCGGGGCCGCAAATCACGGGAGTGACGGGCAAAGCAGGGCTCTGGCAGCCAGAAAATGCCGAGCTCAGCCGGAATTTGCAATCCTGGAGTAGAACAGCACACAATAAAATACACAGCACACCGAGCAGTCCTTTAGAAATATGTCACTAGTAACATACAAGCCATCTCATCAAAAGCCAAACTTCTGCTGAGAAAAACGTCTCCCTTTTTAAAATTGCTCTAGTACGTTTTTTCTGATAACAAACATGAGGTCTGTGTTAATTACAGAACATACAGAAAATACGTGTTAAGAATAGGAAGCAACAACAATAATAATTCTGCTGTCTACAAACTGTCAATACTTGGTGTTACTTTAAAATATTTACATTTTTCAATATACTTGAAATTATACATACAGAGTTGTATCTTGGTGTTTTCCCACTTACCTCATAAGCATTTTGGCATATCATGAAAACCTTTTGTGTAGAGTCTTCATCCCATGTATAATGTATAATTTATTTACACATTCTCTTACATTTAAACATTGAGGTTGCTTTTATTTTCTGCCATTATAAGAATTGCTGTAATAAACATCTTTCTGCCTAAAATCTTTGTCCTGATTTCTAATTCTTTCCTCAGTCAGATTCCTAGGAGAGACCTACATCAAGCAAGGGGCATGGACATTTTTAAAGCCCCTAATAAATTTTGGTAAACTGAAAAGCCCACTTTTCATTCAGTGTAAACTTCCTTTTTTAATGTTTACTTTAGATGAGAACAAGATGAGTAGGATTTAGGGTTTGAACAGAGAAAGGGGCCAAGCAGAGTAGGCTGGGAGCCCCTAGCAAAACAAACCCAAGGAGTGTGCCCTGAGCTGGGGCAGAGGGAGGGAGAGCCCATCTCAGGGAAGGTGGCTGGGATTGCTTTCACGGGGAAGGTGGGTCCCAAACTGGGCCTCACAGGCCAGGTAGGGTTCAACAGCAGAGCAAGGTGGGAAGGGGGAGGAGGGGCAGGCCAGGTAAGGAGCCGAGGTGACAGGGATTCTGGGGGCCTCTGCAGAGAGGTGAGGTGTGGGAAGATGGGAGCCCCAGGGCGGCATGCCTCCCACATCCTGGGGGGCTCCCTGCCTCTCACTGGGGGCCCCAGCAGTCCCCAGTGGCACAGGCTGCCCAGCACCTTCACTGTCCCCTGCCTTTGTGCCTTGCTCGGCTGCCCTTCTGCTTAGTAATGCCCCCGACCCCAGATGACCTACTGATCCTGAGTCTCCGGGCAGGCTCTCCTCCTCCAGGCAGCATCCCTAGTCTGAGCCTGGACTCACCGCCACTCACAGCCTGACTCCCGCTCAGGTCAGGGCGGGGGCGGGCTGTCTCTGTTCTCAGCCTGAGCCTAGAGCCTGCTCCAGGGAAGTGCTCAGCGAGCATCTCTAGAACCCTATTCGGAGTGGCTGCTGAGTCAAAGATGATTCAGAAGGGAGGCAGAAGGCTGAGAACTAACACTGCAGTGTGCTCCTGACTGGGGGGCAGGGCCAGGAGACCATGCAGTCAGGATGGGAGGCAGAGACCAGAGAACATAATACACATCGTATAAGCTGACTGTACAGGAGACTCTCTAACTCTCTCTTTCTTAGATTCCTTCTCGAGTGCACAGTTCCTCAGAACTGCAAAACATGTCCTCAGGGCGCCTAGGAAACATGCAGATTCCCAGGTGCCATTCATGCTCAGGAGGTCTGGGGTGTGGCCTGGGAATGAGCTTTTTAGCAAACCTCACAGGTGATGCTGCTGTTGAGCGACCAGCATATCGAGACTGCTGCATGAAACCTTTAGGGCCTGCTGGCATGTTCGAGTCCTTTGAGAAGAGAGTTTCCCAATCTGTGGTCTGGGAAGCCCTCGTTCCGAGAAATACTAATATGCATTAGAAAGAGTTCCATGACTAAAACATGATAATAGTTGCTATTTCCCTTTCCTGGAGAGTCACAATGCACATGAACATCGAAGCGATTCGGGAAAGTCATGCGGTAAAGACACCAGTTTAGGTTCGTTCAACCGTGACATTCCCAAACTCTTGATTTGGAAATAGTGCCTCACCAACCAAAGCTGGGGGAGCAACAGACGGGGCTGCTAGAATTTCAGCCCAGGGGGGCTGGTAGTCAATTCCCTTGTGTCTCACATCCTGCCCTCCCACCACCTGGTGCTTCCGTTTATTTGCAGGAGGGAGCCGTGCATTTGATCCCCCAGGACCATGGCTGCTGTTAGAGAAAGACGGTACTTTGAAATGATAGCTGACGAGGTTCCATCGCCCACCAGGAGTTGACAACAGGGTTACAAATTCGAAGACTAATCCAAATCAACTTTAAATTCCTTTAAAAACAGGTTTTCTCTCCTGAGTAAACCACTGAGTGAACAGTGCTTTGAGTATTAGTTTCTCAGTTTAAGGGGTATAATGGCACATTTTGTATTCAAAAAACACCATAAAAAAAAAAAAGAACAAAAAACTAAAAGGCTAAGGCTTTTAAAAACCCCCCAGCATCACTCACCCACTTATCCCTGTGCAGCCCCGACTGTAATCCATGTCACAAGCACAAGTCACAAGGATAAGTAAACCCCTTTGGGGCAGAATACCCAAAATAGCGTAACGGTCTACAAGGGGCAGTAGCGATTGTTCAATTTGACCCTTCAGCCTGAGAAGCATCACCCCCACCAGGTGAGTCACAAAATGCCTCTTTGTGCCCAGAGGGCTGTGACTCCCACCGGTTCTCCCTCCCACAGACAAGGGGGCCAGCACCCACCTGCGGGCACCGGGGAGACAGCTTTGTCTGGGTCCACGCCTTCCTCCTGGGGCAGAGATCTGAGCAGTTCGCTGTGATGATGCCTGTGTTGCAAACAGAGGGCTCAGGGTGCGTCCATAGGGCCCACTCCCTCAAAGCCACCCGGGAGCTCTCAGATGTCTCAGCCTGCTTCTTAGGTAGCACTTTCCAAAAATATTTGCTGAGGGCCTACTATGTGCCAGGCCCTGTTGGATAGGAAGCGGATGCTGTGGCATCCTTCCAGAATGCCTTGTTCAAGAAAGTTCACTACCTTCTGTGAGCCCTGTGAGAAAGGGGGGAAATTAGCATATTTCTACTCTTTTCACATTTTCTTTCAATATCTCACTTTTAAAAAAGAAGTGAGTAGGGACCAAGGACATGGGCTATTAGAATCAGACAGACCTGAGTTCAAAATACAAATATTCATTTTTAAAGCTGGGATAATAATACACACTTTTTAGACTTTTGTGAAGATAAATGAGCTGCTACACAGTAGGCACGGGCCCACAGCTGGCTCCCAAAAGCGATGCTCACTCTTATTGTAAGTTAGTGTCTTAGAACGGGGGAGGGTGATGGCCAAGAGTCTCCGTGTGGGTAGCTCAGCATGTGCACAACAAGAAATAATGACAGTGCCTGCCTCCAGTGGGTGGTTATGAAGATTAAAGGGGATGTACACACAAAGTGCACTGAACGGTGTGCGCACAGAGCAGATCTCGTTACACGTTAGCATTTCAAATATGATTAGACTCACACCGATTTGGCATGCGTGGCTCTTTTAGCTTTCTGTCTTCTGCAAAGCAAGAGATAGCTGTGTCATCTCCTTTATTTTTAAATCAAACACAGGTAATCACTATGTCATATCAATTTGATGGTCCATCTTCTACCTACTGTATTATGCATTAACTAGAGCTCTATCTGGGAGGGAGCAGTGCTTGGTGGTAAAAGCATATGCTTTGCAGCCAGAGAAGGTGGGTTCAAGTTCAGGTTCTCTTGCACATCTGCTCCTGGGTATGTCACTAACACTCTCAGGGCCTCACTGACCTTGTCTGTTAATTGGTTGTGAAAGTTAATCCGATCTTATCCCCACTGAGTATCACAAGATCGCGATGGACAAAGTGCTCCATCCTGCCAAACGCTAAGGAAGTGGCTCGGTGCTGATTATTACTGAAAAGGGATCAGGGTGAAGGTGAAGTTCAAAAGTTAGACTGACTGGGTTGGAACTCTAGTTCCAGCTTGTAGCTGTGCAATCTCGGTGAGTTCCTTACGCAATCTGTCTCCAGTTTCCTCCTCTGTAGGTTGGGGGATAATGACAGTACCCACCACAGAGAGCTATTGTAAGGATTAATTGAAGAGCTTAGCATTGGCCCGTATACAGAAAGTGCCCAATAAATGTTAGCTGCTATGGTTATTATTGCTGTCAGTCTATCTTCCCCACCAGACTGTGAACAGGGAGCTCATTTAAATCATCCTTATAGTCTTAGTACCCAAGAACTGCTTACCTAGAGTCCAATGAATTCAGGAACAATGGAAGGAATGGATAAATAAATACATTTAATTCTGGTCCAAAGTGCTTCCTGATGATCTCAGAGACTCAGCTGAGTTTTCTTAAGGCCTAGCTGTGTTTCCATATTGTTTTTCCGCTTTGGTTTTGCTAAACTTCATCTCTGAGGTTTCACTTCTGGGTTAGTCTGAAATCTCACATCAGACTGAAGTAGGTTTGAATTTCACCTGTTTTCTAACTGTAGGACTTTGAGTATGTTACTGCCCCTTCCAGAGCCTCCACTTCCCAATCTGTAAAATGGGGCTAAACCCACCTACTTCTCAGAGTTGCTGAGCTGATTAGATGTTATATATGTGAGAGTGCCTGGTACACACAGTAGGTGATCAATAAAAGTTGGTGACTGTCATTTTATATTACTTACCTTGAAGCTCCTAGTACCAGTTAACCCTACTTTGAATAATTAGCTAGATGTCTGAACTCTGGTGTGGAAATGATTACTTTCTGTGACAAATGCCTCTTCCTCATAGAACTCCATTCTGCCTCTGGGGGAAGTGGCTGTCACTTCCTCTTGTTGCGTGCCTCAGAGGTACCCTGGTGTGCTCAGCCCTGGGCCTGCAGACCGATCCTGGGTGACCCTGGCAACATGTTCTTTATGTCCTAAGCAGCCCCACTGGTCTCCAGGGACACCTGATCAAAGGGTCGCTGTGGCAGGAGCAGTCAGCCACATGCTGTTCCCGCCAGTAGACCCCTGGCATTGAAGACGGCCATGAGCACGGCTGCGGAGTTGGACTGGGGCTCCGCCACTTGCGTATTTGTTGTATGAACTGTGATAAACTTAGCTTCTCTAAACCTCAGTTTCTTCACCTGTAAAATGAGGACAACATCAGATCGTGTTTGCAAAGGGGCCCATGAGGTGACGATGATGGACCACATCAAGTGGCATGTGAGGAAGGCTCCTCCCCACAACATGGGGCAAAGGTGAGTGACATAGTTATCAAATGCCCTAAAAGCATGAAAGCTGGCCTACATTTTAAAAATTAGAGTAAAAATAAGCAACCTGATAAGGAGAGAAAGAATCCTCAATAAGTCCCACAGTGAGTTTATTTTTTAGTGATTTTTGTCACTGTTACTATGATGGAAATTCACTGTGGACTCTATCAAGAGGACACTAAACTGAGCAAAGGGTGGAGTGGGTGTACCAATCTTCTAAAATCTCCTAACTTTACAATTTTAACCAGATATTCAATCTTTTGTTTTTTTTAAAGTGCTTCTGGTAGTTTTAGAAAAACATTAGTAATCTTTTTTTTTTTTCTGATGCACTTGAAGATGAAGCTCAATCCAAATACTGAAAAAACATCTGATAATCAGCTATCTGATAAAATGGCATTGACTATCTGTATCAGCAGAGTCTCAACCTTGGTGAAACAAAATAAATCATTTGGGGACTTTTAAAAAATTACCCATGCCTATACCCCAACCCAGACGATTCATAATCTTGAGGTGGGGGTGCTGAACACTTTTAAAAGAAGTTTCCCAGGCCAATCATAATCTTGGGGGAGGGTGAACATTTTTTAAAAAAAGGCTTCCCAGGTGATTCCTTCAGCCAGAGTTGACACCACTGGTTTGCACAGGTCTCGGTCCTAATGAAAAGCCTGATTCACATACAAGTTGCCAAGGCAACTGAGGCTGCGGCCTCAATCCTGGTTAAAATCACGAGGGAGCTCTTAAAAATCCTGATGCTCCACCCAGACCAATGACATCCCAGTCTCTGGGGTTAAGACTCCGGTATTGACACTTTATTTATTTTTAGAGAGAGAAAGAGGGAGAGAGGAAGAGATGGAGATAAATATTGATGTTAGAGAGAAACATTGATTGGTTACTGGGGACCGAACCTGCAATCTAGGCATGTGCCCTGGCCAGAAATCAAACTGGAGACCTTTTGCTTTGTGGGATGATGCCCAACCAACTGAGCCAAACCAGTCAGGGCAGCATTGACACTTTTGAAAGCTCCCTAGATGATTCAATGTGCAGTCAGGGCTGAGAAGCACTGGACTAAAGGATATAGTTAAAAAAAAAATGTGTTCAGTAAAATTTTAGCTCACACTTGCATTTTGCAGCAGAAGCACTAGTAATATGATGTAGTACTGTGGTTAGTTCCTATTTATCCAAGAATGGCCTCTCTGCTTTGAGGATAAATTATAGCCCAGTGTTAGGGATACAGGGAAGGTAGCTAACATTATTAAGCACCTACCAGAAATCAGGCGTTTTCCCCTGCACTATGTAATTCACACTGTGCCCAGTGAAGTAGGTGGTGTCATTCCCGTATTATTAGGTGAGGAATTGAGGCTCAGAGAGGCTAACTCACTTACATCAAGTCACTTAGCTAGTAAATTGGGCTCCAAAATCTGGGCCCTAGGCCACACTCCGCAAGGCCGAAGACAGCATCTGTTTCTGCTTACATACTCAAACTAAATGATTTGTTAGATTGTCTTTCGTTTTGTTTCTATTCCCCCGTTAGCCTAGATAATGAGAGCTGACTATATGGCTTATTCTGAAAGGATGACCTAGGAATAAATTTATTCCTTCTGTTAAAAAAAAAAGAGAGCACAGGTTCTAACAATTATTTAGTATTTGTTCTCCTTTTAACTTGGCAACAGGTTCTGAGGTAGCACTGTAACCGCCGAATGCTTTTAGCTGCTTTTCCCCCCCACCCCGCTAAAAGGTAAATAATAAGAACCAGGATATGTAACTAAATGTTTACCTAGACTAAAAAGGTAAACATTTTTCTCCCAAGTGACTTTGAAGATAAGTAAAAAATGAAAATCTAAACAGATTATAAACAGAGCTGCTAATTATTTGACCTCGTCCCTCATGCTTCCTATTCTGATAATCCTTGTGCTTCCAAATAGGTACAAGACACAGCCCACAATTTGTAATCCCCTCCAGCAGAGCTGGCTGTCATTAGGGAAGAGGCAGGCCCACCTCCCCATCCCCTGTAGCAGCCCGGACAGGGGGACTCCTGCTTCTCTAGCAAACTCCCAGTAACGTTTCCCAGACCCTAGTCTGACCCATTGTCCTAACATGCAGGACTTGCCAGGGCTTCTAAACAGCAAATTACTTATGCTAAATGCTGACAGCAATTCCAAGAGAAAAAAAAGCAACCTATTTTTGTGTAACTATTTCTAGATTCATAGTTTTTTCTTCCCTATTTTAAAGGCTAGATTTATAGAACCCGGATTTGTATAATTAGAAAAAGATGGCTTGTTATGTACAGGCAGTTTTCAATCTACTCAATTAAGACAATAATAAAAGGTCTCTTTTACTGAATATTCTTATGTGGTTCTGGGTTAGAAAAGTTATTTCCATCTTTAAAATCCTATTTAGGACATATTGTCCCCATTTTGCAAGTGAGAAATGTGTCTCAGAGAATTTAGTTCAAATGCCTAAAGTGATGTCAGATACTAGGTGGTGGCACTAGAGCCAGAAGGTACAGCCTGCTCAAACAAGGATGGGCGTTTCTAGAAAGCCCACCCTGAAGGGCAGTGGTTTGTGATTTTTTTTCATTCAGGGCCTCTGAGAACATGAGTCTGTTGGCCTCTCTCCCTCTAGGGTGAAGTGCCTCTTGGATTTTGGCTCAGAAGGCCTAGCGGGGGCCCCCTCAACACCCCATCCTACCTTTCACCCCATGGGCCCTGCAGACACGTCCCATGGCCCCCGGTCATCTCACAAATGCATGCCCACTGTTACCTCAGCACCTTCACGGTCTCCATCCACTGTGCCTGCTCGCTCTCCCAGGTGTCCACCCGAATCCAGTCGGACATCTGCAGGGCCAGCCGGACCATGGCCACTCGGTGGTGGGCAGCCACAAGGTCTTTCTTCTTGTAGTTGTCATTGACAGGGGAGATGACACCCCCGATCACCCGGTACATTCCTAAGCAAAGGAGAACAGTGGTGTTGCACTCCCAAATGCTTGCCGCCTGGCAGCCGGAATTCAGGCAGGTGCTAAAAATCTCCGCGCCTCATCCTGGCATTCTCTCCTGAGGGCCCAGCTCCCTTGGGTAAGGGGGAAGGCCACCTCAGGGACCATGTTCTTCTCCCCGTCTTCTACAACCAGACTAATACCTCCTAAGAGGAAGGCTGTGAGGGCGGAGTGGGCTAAGCCTCCCAGATAGCAATGTGGACGGTCTGGGTCAGAGTATGCCGGAGGGACACCATGACTTCTTCCTGTCTGGGACTTAACAAAGGCACCGCCATTCTCTAATCAAGAATGGGACAATGTTATATACAGTTCCTTAGCCCAAACAGGACATTTTGTGGATCAAAGATAGATGATGGGGTGGGCTTTAGCTGAACAAGGCAGGTGGGGGATGGGAAGTAGGTTTACTACATAGGCCCCACACTGGCTTTGGAGAAATGTGCTGTAAGGGAATGGGAAGGCCTGCTTGGGAAAAGACCTGGGCTGTGCTGATTAGTGAGGCTATATGGCTCAGTCTGGAGAACAGGGTGTTTTAAGTTTAGAGATACAGTGACACTGTAGAAGCTACAGAGAACTATCAGGAAAAGCTATGAAAGGGCTCAAAGACCTTGGGTAGGAGTTCATAGGACACCTCAAGCAAATTATCAAACTCTTGGAAAAAATGAAATACTTAGCCATTTGACCTTCAGTTTTCTTATCTGTAAAATGCAGTAATATTAAGACCTGCTTGGTAGGGCCTTCTGGTAAGGATGAAATTAGATAAGGTTTATGTAGTGGGAAAAGATTTTGATTTAGTAAATATATATATATATATATATTTAAAAATTGTATGAAAAAATATAATATGCAAAGAAAGGAGCATAAGACACATACAGTTTGATGAAAAATTATAAAGTACATCCTGCTCTAACATCACAGAGGTTAAGATACGGAACACTCTGGCACGCCGGAAGTCCCTATCACAACCCCTACTCTAATGGAAGTTAATCACTATTCTTACTTTTATAATATTAATTCTCTTGCTTTCCTTTATAGTGTTACCTTTATTACTAATGTATTATAACAAGTAAATTTCATGTACTTATGCAGCCTTAAAAACATAGCCTGCTTCTGAAAGTTTTATAAATGGAATCATACTGAATATATTCTTTTGTTAAGCCTTTTTCACTTTATATGAGTAAAACTCACATAATACAACCAGTTTTATTGCTGCATAACATTCCACTGCATGATCATATGACCAAATAATTGATCTATTTTACTGTTGATAGACTCAGGCTGGATTCTGGCTTTAGACAAGTATAAACAAGATTGCTATAAAATTCTCACACAAGTCCGCCTCTGCACAGAGGCATGCACTTCTGATATATACCTAAGAGTGGAACTGCTGAGTCACAGGGGAGGTATGTTTGCAGCTTTAATAGATGATGCCGAACAGTTTTCTAACGTGGTTGTAGCTATATATCCTCCAGCCAGTGGTGTATGAGAGTTTCGTTTGCCCCACACCATGTCATATGGGGTTATTGTCAGGATTTTCCCAATCCGATAGATGTGTAGTTATATTTCATTATGGTTTTAAAGTTCATTTTCCTGCTTACTAGAGAGACTGAGCTTTGTTCATAGATATTATTAAGCATGCAGGCTAAATTTTTTGGTGAATGCCTGTTCAAATCTTTTGCCCATATTTTGGGTAGTCTGCCTTTCAATCATTATTTGTAGAGTCCTTAATATATTTCAAATACTAGCCTTTTGTTGGTTATATATCATCAATCTTCTCTTATTTCATGGCTTATTTTTCTTTTTATAGAATCTTTTTGAAAACAAAAGTTCTTAATTTTAATGTAGTTGGGATATTAGTTTTTTCGCTTTACAATGAGTGCATTTTGTATTACAAAGATATTTTCCTATGTTACCTCATAAAAGGTTTATAGCTTTGTTTTTCAGATTTGGATCTTTGTACATGATGTGAGTTCTATGAAGTTATTTTCCAATTGGATAGTCAATTGTTCCAGCAACATTTATAAAAAAGACCCTGTCCACCCCACTGTGCATTGCTACCTGTGATGAACATCAAACGTCCATCTGTGCATGGGCCTGCTTCTCTACTCTCTGTTCTGATCTATTGCTCTATTTGCCTGTCCTTGAGCAATGAAACACTTTTTTGCTTAATGTAGCTTTATTGTACATATTGATACCTGAATAAGCAAATCCTCCCACCTTGTTCTTCAAGGGTGTCTTGGCAATTTTTGACTTTCTGTATTTTCAATATAAATTTTAGACAGAGCTGGTCAGGTTCCACAAAATTAAATCCCTCACCACAACCAAAGAAGCTGCTGAAATCTTGATAGGAATTGAATTTATAATTCAATTTAGGCAGAACTGACATCTCTACCCTACTGAATCTCCCAATCCATGAATGTGGTACATCTATTTAATTAGGTCTTAAAATGTCGCTAGAGATTTACAATTTTTCATGTAGACCACTTATACAACTTTGTAAGATTTAATCGTAGATAATTTTTTGGATGCCACTATAAATGTCATTTTTAAAAATTCCAGTTTTTTGTTGCTCACATGTAGAAATATACTTGACTTAGTATCTTGTATCCAGTAACCTTGTTAAATTCTCTGGTTCTAATCATTTATCTGCAGTCTTTCAAATCTTCTATGCCCAAAATAATACCATCTGAAAATACTGAACTTTTTGCTGATTCATTTCCAATCTGTATACCTTTTATTTATTTTTCTTGTTACATCATTTAAGACTGGTAGTAAAATGCTGAATAAAGATGGTATCAGCAGGTATCCTTGTTTTATTCCCACTCTCTTCTTTATTTTAAAAAAATTTTTATTGAATTTATTGGGGTGGCATTGGTGAATAAAATTACATAGATCTCAAGTGTGCAATTATGTAATATATTATTTGTATATTGTATTTTGTGTTCACCACCCAAAGTCAAGTCTCCTTCCATTTATCATCCCTTTGGCCTCTTCTGCCTCCCCCTACCTTTTTTTCTCTTTGATAATCACCATATTATTGACTGTGTCTATGAGGGTTTTTTTGCTTAATCCCTTCAACTTTTACACCCAGTCCCCCAAGGCCCCTCCCCTTTGACAGCTGTCAGTCACTTCTCTACCTATGAGTCTCTTCCTATTTTGTTTACTTTGTTTGTTTATTTTGTTCATTAGATTCCACATAAAAGTGAAATCACATGGTATACTTTGGCTTATTTCACTTAGCATCATACTCTCCAGGTTCATCTCTGCTGTCACAAAGGTCATATTTCCTTCTTTTTTAGAGCCAAGTAGTATTCCATTGTGTAAATGGACCACAGCTTTTTTGTCCATTCATTTACTGATGGGCACTAGGCCTGCTTCCAAATCTTGGCTATTGTAAATAATGCTGCAATGAACATAGGGGTGCATATATTCTTTTGGATTAGTGTTTCAGGTTTCTTTGGATATATTCCTTGCTCATCTTAGAGAGGCCTGCGTTTTATTAGTCTTTCCAAAGAACCAACTTTTGGCTTTATTGATCTCTCTACTGAACATCTGTTTTCCATTTCGTCTATTTCTGCTCTTATTTATTTATTTATTTTATTAATTCTATCCTTCTACTCCCTTGGTGTTAATTTGCTATTCTTTTTCTAACTTCTTGTGATGGGTGCTTAGCTAACTAATCTGTGGTATTCTTATTTTCTAATATACACAGTCCAGGCTATAAAATTTCTAAGCATGTCTTTACTTGCATTCCATGCATTTTGATATGTAGTGTTTTTATATTCATTCAGCTCAAAATATTTTATAATTTCAATTATTATGTCTTTTTTTTGATCCATGAGCTATTTAGAAGTATTTTGAAATTATCAAACACAAAGATTTTTGGTTATATTTTTGTTATTTCTAGCTTGGTTGCACTGTAGTCAAGGAGCATACTTTCTATTGATTTTAATCACTTCAAGTGTGTTGATACTTGCTTCATTTCCCAGAATATGGCAAGCCAGATTTGGTAAATGATCCATGCTTGCTTAAAAAGAATGTGCATTCTAATTTTTGGGTGCAATGTTCTGTCCATTCAGCCAAGATTGCTAATTATTTTATTTAAATCTATATTTTTACTGATTTTTTTGGTCTGCCTGTTGTATTATTTACTGAGAGGCATGTTAAAATCTCCCATTATGATTATGGAGTTTTCTATTTTTCCTGTTAGTTCTTTCAACTTGTGTTTCAAATATTTTAAGGACATGTTCTGGCTTATATATTTGTTATTCTTACATATCTTTCTGTAAATTGAGCATCTTTCACTCTAACAATGTTTCTTGACTTAAAGTCTGTATATCTGATATTAATGTAGCCTCAATAGTTTTATTTTGATTACTATATGTGCGGCATATTTTATTAACCTTTCTCTTTCGACCTTTCTATACTTCTGTTTTAAACACAAATTTTGTAAATGGCTGAATTAAATTTTTGGGGGTCAAGTTTGACAATTATTGATTTTTAACAGAACATTAAGTTTACTTACATTTAATATGAATGTTGACATATTTAAATTTCAAGCTACCATCTTATTCTGTGCTTCTTTTTTGTCACAAGCTTTATGGTTTTATTCTTCTTTTCTGCCTGTCTTTGGACTTTATTTCATTTTTCCTCTTAGACTGAAACTTACATATGCATTCTTATATCCAAAGTAAATTAAGATCTTTACCCTCTTCCTCAACAACACAAGGACTTCAGGACTCTGTAACTCTATTTACCACCTTAACATATTATTGTTGTAGATATTTTAAGTTTATTTATCCTCCTGACCTTAGTAGACCATATAATTCTGTTTTATACACCAATCACATCTAAATTTACCCATGGAATATTCTTGAGGATAGACCACATACTATGCCACAAAACAGGCCTCAAGAAATTCAGAAGATTGAAATCATATCAAGCATCTCTTCCAA